GCAGGGGCTGGTCCGTCACACGACAGTACGGTGCCTGTTGCAAGGCCGTTGCCCACGCAGTCCGTCTTCCACTTCGTGCCATGGAAAACCGCCGCATGTTCTGGCCAGGCTTCAACGAACTTGCGCCGGCGCGTGTCTGTTTCTTGGGATGTCGCAGCATTGATCAGCCAGTCACGATGCTACACCGTGTGCTGAATCTTCCACTCAACATCACGCCCTTCGAGACGGTTGCCATGCACCACGTCGTCCTAATGATATTGGAGACTACCGCCTTTGGAGAGCGACCGAGATTGGCTTAGGCCTTGCCCCGCAACGTCCTGGTGCTTTTGAACGGTTTTTGAACCAGGTGCCACTCAACCTGTTGTCTGTCCTGCAGTGCAAGTCTTTTGCATCAGTGTTTTTACCTTAACTAAAAAGAAATATAAATATAAATATATATATATATCTCTATATATATATATATAAATGTATTTCTATGTATATGTATATATATATATTTAAATATATATATATAGATCTCTATATTCAAATATATATATATATAGATCTCTATATATTTATATTTATATATATATATATATCTATATATATATATATATACCTCTTTTTAAAAAATTAAAGGACCGGATAACCCCACATGTTACCAACTTCTTTAGACTTAGACTGACCATAGAAGAGCAAGAAGGGAAGAGGAAGTATAAGAGTGATGGAGCGGTGATGGTGGGCGAGTTTGTGTGTATGTATGTATGTTCATGTACAGTGAGTGAGTGAGAGTGTGAGTGAGTGATGCGAGTGTGGTGTGTGTGAGTGAGGGATGTGAGAGTGAGTTAAGTGAAGTGAAGTGAAGTGAAGTCAAGTCAAGTGAAGTGAAGTGAAGTGAAGTGAAGCGAAGCGAAGGGAAGTGAAGTGAAGTGAAGTGAGTGAGTGGGTGAGCGAGGGAGCGAGGGAGCGAGGGAGCGAGGGAGCGAGGGAGCGAGGGAGCGAGGGAGCGAGGGAGCGAGGGAGCGAGGGAGCGAGGGAGCGAGGGAGCGAGGGAGCGAGGGAGCGAGTGAGCGAGTGAGTGAGTGAATGAGTGAGTGAGTGAGTGAGTGAGTGAGTGTGTGCGTGTGTGCGTGTGTGCGTGTGTGAGTGAGTGAGTGAGTGAGTGAGTTGGAGTGAGTGAGTGAGTGACTGACTGAGTGAGTGCTGCTCACATTGTCCCACGCCTGCCACGCAAAAGACGCGGAGCCCGAGGGACGCCAGGGCGTACATCCGACCCCTTGGCAGTGCACATTGTCCCACGCCTGCCACGCAAAATACGCGGAGCCCGAGGGACGCCAGGGCGTACATCCGACCCCTTGGCAGTGCACATTGTCCCACGCCTGCCACGCAAAAGAGGCGGAGCCCGAGGGACGCCAGGGCGTACATCCGACCCCTTAGCTGCTCACATTGTCCCACGCCGGCCACGCAAAAGACGCGGAGCCCGAGGGACGCCAGGGCGTACATCCGACCCCTTGGCTGCTCACATTGTCCCACGCCTGCCACGCAAAAGACGCGGAGCCCGAGGGACGCCAGGGCGTACATCCGACCCCTTGGCAGTTGCACATTGTCCCACGCCTGCCACGCAAAAGAGGCGGAGCCCGAGGGACGCCAGGGCGTACATCCGACCCCTTGGCTGCTCACATTGTCCCACGCCGGCCACGCAAAAGCGGCGGAGCCCGAGGGACGC